TTCCTGCCCCATTGACCAAATACGACCGTGGACAGAAGATGGCCATCCGCGACGCTGTGCGACTTCCAAGGGGGCATTTTGCATTTTATCCTCCGCTAGATCAATTACTAGCAGGTCTATTTTGCTAAGACCTGTAATTTCTCGTGAAGTTCGCTGCTTACCATTTTCTGCCCCGCAAGCCGATCTGCGCCGAATCAGCGAAAAAGAAACACTAATGAGAAGAATCTATTTCATCCACTACAATTCAAGTGAGGTGTCTCTTTAGAGACTGCCGGTCCCCATTTCACCTGCTAGACGCTGGTTATGCATATGACCGGGGACGGTGCACGTTTTACACAAAGTTTGTCTACTTTGCGTGGGATTTGTAAACTTTTCATTCACTTGAGCCACTTGCTTTTCCACCTTTTCCTTTCTTTCTACGGGATCGCATGTTAAAGGGTCTTCAACTCACGTATAACTCTCCGTGGACTTTCAGTTCAAATCGTTGTTTTTGGGCAGCCGAGACAACAGATGGGCATTTCTCGAGCGAGCTGTCAGCTACCAGAAATGTCTTCGAGCTGGAGGAAAGCATAATGACCTCGAAGTGAGTATCGCTCTCAATTCCCCAAAGAACTTATGATGAAGATTAATTCGATTTGTCAATGTCAACAGCTTGTTGAAAGAAGTTAATAGCGACCACGAGTATAATAAGATGGTCACTGAATGAATTTTTATGGGGAGGGGGGGGGCTGTATAGGAAAACGCAGAGTATAGTTTCCATTGCTTGGGAGGTTCGCAGCTCCATAGCACACACCATAGGTCCATAGCACACATTCTTTTCACGTACTAACTCCACCTTTGAAATTTGGGACGACCTTCAGAGCTGAGTTTCAGTTTTTCATTTAGGACTGAGATAGAGGAGCTCCGAAGTTGTTGAACAAGTTTTGCGAAGCACAAAAGCCCCTTCCTGTCTGGAGAATTTGGCTCTCCCATATCGGAGCTCCCTGTCCCTAGATTCAAGTAAAAATCACTATCCAAGCGCTGATTGGAGTTCAGTACGAAGAAATTGGGGAAATGCTGTGGGAAGGGTGAAGGGTTAGGTCAGGCACGATTCTCGTCCTTAACGCGTCAGGAGACGTCATAGGTCGTTCTGCTGCTGTCTCGTTCACTGCGGAGCAGGGCTTGTCAGGGGCGCTTGGTTTGGCGCGGCGCCAGCCGCCTGCTTACCCCACTTTCTTGTTCTCTTCAACAATATTTGAAGAACGAG